AACAGCTCCAGCTCGCGCAAACACGACTGTCGTCCCAAAAACACCTGTCAAAAACACGACAATTCCAACAGTCAAAGCTAACACTACAAACACCACTGCAGTGAACAAAAACGTCACAGTCCAAGCACCTAAACCAACAAACAAGACAACAAACGCTACTCTTCCTCTCAATAAGACAATGAATAAAAACACAACAACAGCACCAGTCTTGCCAAAAGGAAATAACACTACAAAAGTCGAGAATAAGAAAACCCCAGCACCAATCAAAGAACCAACTAAAAAACATAAACAATTGGTGAAAAAGTATACAAAGAAGTTGGAGAAGAAGTTACAAAAGATGAGTTTGGAAGACAAGCCGTATCACAACAGAATGTGGAAGGTCGAAAAGAAATTCCACCGACTCAATAAAAAAGCGAACAATGTCAAAGAGAAATTCAGTGACTTCAAACACACCGCGAACATGATATAAAGCCTAAATGAACGGTTAGAAAAATTGGTTATTGTGGCACGTCCATGATGTACGGCCCTTTGAAGTCCAGTGGGACAAATTTGTTCAGTTGAACTTCTTTCTCAAGTGCCGAGTAGTCGTATCCACTGTTCTTCTCATCTAAGAACGAAGTTTTGTCAAATGTGATATTGAATGAACTGAAGGCCTGTATGTGAGTCTTAATATCTTCTATATATATTATATATTATATTAATAAATAAATATATTAATAAATATATATTAATAAATATATTATTAATTATAAAGAAACAAACGATTGTATCATCACCATAATTCAAAAATCGAGTGTTACCAAATTTGAATACATCATATGGTACATAATAATATCCACAATATGCGGAATTTTCAACACTAACAACGGGATCAAACAACTTCTCAAGCTCTTGTGGAGTCGTCGGGTTGGTTATAATCTCTTCGGCACCATCTTTCCCATCTTCCCACATGATTAAATAGAACTTTGCTTGGCCTTCTTCTTCATTGGTGTACCTCAACTTGACCATTGGGGCAGAGGTGTAGATCACTTGAACGTTCTTTTCGGATTGTAAAGCAAAGCGCAACTCTTTGCCTTGATTCTCTTCTTTCGCACAATAATCAAACCCAAACGCAGCAGCATACTCTTGCTTCTTCGCGAGTTCAGAACACTTCAAAACAGTGCCTGAATTGTATCTGACTAATCGAACAATACGATAAAACCCATTAGCACAAGCTGATGCATCCATTGAAGTCTTGAAACACTCAAAATCAATTGGAATCCAATTTTGATATGTTCCAAAATTGGGGCAGAGAGAATCTTCTTGGACAGTCGAGTGATTTGACATGAAGTACCCCGCACTATGCCCTTGATTGCCCCAACTGTTCTTCACCACAAACCCTCCTCTAGAAAATTCATTGATCTTTCTATGTTGTGCATTTCTATTGATTCTGAAGTCGTCATTATATCCAACTATCAACATCGAACGGACTGAAGAGACATACGATTTGCCAGTGATATCAAAGACCCCATTATTATCAAATGAAGAGACTTCTATCTCGTAACAGTACTCGTTATCACCACAAGGAAATCGTTTTGAGACACAGTCGTCGTTATTAACACCTTGATTATCAAGTCGAGAGCACTTTGTACGGTACACTTTATTGAATACCCCATGCGTCCACGTCACAGGTAGTTTTGTGTTGACCAAAAGTGTTTTGATGTCTTGGATAGAATATGCCGTCGTGATGTTGTTCACAATAAATTTGATGGGATTGGTCTTTAACAACGTAGGGATGTTCGCAGTCTGATCCGACGTTTCTGTCTTACATAAATTCCATTCATTCTCGTTTGTGTTGTATGGACACGCGTTCGATGGAATTGCCCAGTTCTGATTGTTATCTCTGAAGTAATACAACCACTCCGGTAAGCCATTAGATGTGCTATGTGTTCGTTGTCCGTTTGTACAGAACTTACTTGGGTTGGACGTGTTACACAACTCAGTGATTTCAATACCAAAGATTTGTTCGCTGAATGAGACGTAAGAACTCGGGGAGTGGCCATGGTACTGTTTTGCTTCGGAGTTGTACGCCGCTTCTAAAAACCCAGTGATACCAAACGCCCAGCACATCTCACGTTCTCCTTCATTCTTTGGTGGTGTCAATGCGCTCCAAGGAATGACATATTTGACTGGTTGTTCGTGAATGTAATTGTAAGTTGGTTGTTCGAGGTCTTCCTACCAATTAGTCCATTGTTAATGTATAAAAAAACGATACTTTTTAATAAATTTATTATAAATTATAGTAAAATATGAATTAAAAGGAACAAACAATACGAGTATTTAAATGCACAAAAATGCCGACGTAGATGCAAAGGGAAGATACTACAAGCGTTGTCAGAGAGACGAAGATGAGGATGAAAAGGAGGAAGTCTTTGCCCTCCCTTGGGAAAAGTGTATGGCTCTGCATCATTGTTGAACCAAAAATGAGATCTCAGATCTCAGAAATTCCATGGCAGAAGTTCGACCATCTTCGGAAACCCTTCGTTTTCCTAATTTCATTGAACGGTATACAACCCAGCGATTTGTCATAAACGTTGACGAGAATGATGGAAGCGACCAATTTATATTTCTTCATTCCAATGGGTTAGTACTTGTTGGACTTGCGAGAACACATCCAGTGTGCAAAGCACAAGATATTAAAGTGGCTATTAACACTCAAAAAGAAAATCAGGTGAAAGGAAGGCATAAATTTGGTGCACAAAACGTCAAGCCAAAAACAGTGTTAATCACGGTGGTGGCTGATGGAGTGGAGTATAAGGTACATGCGTTGACCTCTGGGCGTTTGCTTGAAATGAACGAATCACTCACCGATCATCCAGAACTCCTCAAAAACGAAAGCGAGGGGAAAGGATTTGTAGCAATTTTACAAAAGAACCCAAACGAGAAAAATCCAGAGGAAATGGAATCACTCAGCCTTGAGGAATTTTGCAAACTCAGAAATTTGGAAGTCCCACATTATATCCCATTACCTGTGGCCAACGAAGAGTACGACATCGACGATTATAACTGATTTTAAATGTTCGCAGTGCTTTTTTCAGTTTTTGTAACAAGACACAGGGAAGGACTTGATTATATCTCGACAACATACACCTGATTGCCAGCTGTGAACGAAATGAGGTTTTTGTCTAAAGGGCACCAGGATATGTCGTTGACTTGTTTGTCAATTTGGAATTGGAACATCTGTGGTTGTCCACCAGACTCAACAGGGAATAAATCCCACAGCAAAGCCTTTTGGTCAGACGACGCACTGCACAGGTGTGTGCTGCAGTGCGGGCTCCAACACACTGCGTTGACCAAACTGTGCGGCTGTGAAAGCTCTACATAAGGCACTGCGGGTTTTCGCGTATCGATAACAATCACTTTTGTCGAGTCTGACGAAAAAGTTGCAATAAAGTGGCTGTCGAATTTGTTGTAAGATAACCGGAGAAGAGGAACCAAGTTTGTTGTCTCATACAAAATCGTTGAGTGTTCAAGTGATCGCAAATCGAACATACGTAACGACCCATCACCACCAACAGTGCTGAAAACGTCGGGGTTGTCCGAAAAAGCAATGTCGTATACCTCCTTTTCGTGTGCAATCAACTTTTTAATTGAGTTGCATGAACTGACCGACCACAGTGTTACTGTTGAGTCGAGCGAACACGTCAAAAGTAAATCTGGTTTTGTGCAGTTCCAATCAAGTGAACTGCACGGAGAAGGCACATCCGTCACCATCCCGAGTGTCGCGACACTCGAAATAACCTCGTTTTTAATTTCCAATATCTGCGGCTTTAACCCACCAACCACGAGAAGGTCCTTTGTTGTGGATTGTTCAGGAGAAAATTGAACTTTCGTGGGTGGGTACTCGACTTCAAATTCACACGATTTGATCAGTTTTGAATTCACGTCATCGATTGTAAAGACCTGTTGTTAAATATGTAAACCTTACTTTCCTTCGAACTGATGTTATTAGTCATTGCGTCGTAAAATAAAAGCAATAAAGTGGGAAGAACATTCATTAAAATTGACAAAGCGACAAACTTGACAGACGTTACGGATTTGATTCACAAAAGATGTTGCTGCAACACGTAAAGGCTTGTCAGTTCTCTTGCTCCAGCTTACAGAATAGAGCGGTGCCGTAGAGGTATAAGAATAAACAGTGCTTAGCATGTATGATTCCTCCTTTTCCTTTCGCAGTTTCTTTGAGTTCTTTCAAAAAAAAAGTTGGGTTTTTTTCAAAACAAAACCGACAGTTGGCTTACTCGTTCACCCAGTTGTGTGAATGAGCCTCACCTTTCATATTTTTTTACCTTCAAGTGACCTTTTATTCCACCTTTACAATCTCAATAAGAACTCGAATTGATCTTGAAATTATGAAAAAGTCAAAAAATGAAACATAAAAATGTTATTTGAAAACAATTATATAAAAACATTTTAATAACAATAATTGTATTTATAATTCAATTTGGTTTTGAACTATATTTTATTAATATTATAACTATAATCCTTTTACACAATGATTAAAAAAATTCATATTATGAAATATCACCACTTTCCGGAATTGCCAATAATCAAGTGATTTATTTTTTAACCAGTTTATTTTCTTGCAATCTCGTCTGAAATGTGTGATGAGATAAGTTTAGATAATACACGTGCAAAAATAAATGATCAGTGCCACACTCCTTAATTATTTATTAATAAATCTAGTAAAAAAATGAAATTTGATATCCCACAGTCCTAAACTCCCCACGAAATGAGTCTTCGAGATTGTGCTATAAGAGCGAAGACAATCGAAGCAACTCGAAATTGACAAAAGAAAGAGAACTTGAAAAACAAAAAACAAAAATCAACCAATTTTTTTTGAGTTGATGATTTATCTAAAGCTAATAAGAAGTAAACCTAATAAGAAACTAGAAAGAATTAGCAAATAATCCGAAATAACATGGGAGTGTGTGCACGAGATACATAAAAAGGGAACTTTGAACTCGAAAAGTATATTTTACAACGATGAACGCGTTACTCTTTCTCGCCATCACATTAGCCGTCGCCGAGGATGACATCTACTCTCCATTCAAGCGTAGTTGTGTGATCCAGAACCGTATCAACTCGGTCACAGCGGAAACAAAGAACTTGCAAATGAGAATTGAAATCGACGAACAGCAAGAGAGGAACTTCATGGACACTCTCTTTTACCTCTACAGAGACTTGAAATATGCCACTTTGACTGAAGACAGAACACGACTTGAACTTGAGATCGAAGGGATCCAAAAGAAACTCCATGACGTTAGAACTCACAAGGTCGACTTGTTAAGAGACATTAGAAAGTCAGCCGATAAAGTCACTCAACCATTCAGAGATAACATTGCTAGAACTAACAGAATCGAACGACACGTTGGACTTGAAGACTCCGGAAACTTTGTCGAAGAACGTTATAAGACTCAAGACTCCATTAAGAAAATCACTGAGGCTTTGGCTAACAAATACGCTTCCTTGGCTGCTAAAGTAGAGGCCCAAAACGTCGTCGAAAAGGCTACTAAGAAGTTTAAGAACGACGCTAAGAAGATCAAGGAATACGTCGAAAAGAAAGCTGAAGCTGCTTATAAGGACATCCACGCTAAGGTCGTTAAAGCAATTAATGGTGCGACTGAGAACGGTGTTGTCAGAAGTGACGTCGAGGCCGTTGCTAAGACTGCTATCGAAGGGTTGGTTAACACTCTCGAGATGAAAGCCGCTGCTCTCCCAAACATTAAAGTTGCTGAGAAACTTGCTGATAAGATCGTCAAGACACAACTCAAGGGCGTAAAAAAGACTACTAAGAAAGTCGCAAAAAAGGCCACAAAGAAGGCTACCAAGAAAGTTACAAAGAAGACCGCTCCAAAGAAGAAGTGAGATGAATAATTTCAACTTTTAGGTGTTCGTATTTCATTGGGGTTTTATTTCTAAATTTGCGACATTTTTGCCCTGTTTTTTCGGGATCGCTTTGATTTTTGAGGGTGTTTGCGATTTTTTGAGCTAAAAATCAAGTCATAACTTTTGTTACAAGGCAATCCTAATAAAAAATGAGTGTTTTTTGGCGAAAAATGATGGAATGTGATCGATTTAATACTCGTCTTTTAAAAATTGGGTAAAAATGAAAAAAACAACAATCTAAAACACTCTTTTTTTTGAAGATATAATTAATTAATAGTCATTTTTAATGTTATTTTTCGGCAAAAAAGAGGACATTGGTAAATGTGTTGAACTACTATTTTTATTTTAACATTTCACTTTTTTTAGTTACAACTATTATTATAGTTTAGAAAACAAACGTTTTGTTTTCTATAAATACAATTTTTTTCATCTTCGAAAAAATGTTTTTCAAAACAAATAGAAATATTTTGACGGATTGCATCTCGATATAAAATGAACTAAAAATCGAATAGCATTTTCTATTAACAAAATTATATTCTAACATTTCTAATTATATAATAATCTAATTATTAAACTAAAATTATTTGTTAAATCAATATCAAAAAAATCACATTAAAAAAATTGATGTAATTATTATTAAAAACATAACAATAAAATTGAGGTTTTAATTTCAGAACAGAAATAACTTCTTTAATGGTTCAAATAAATAGAATAATAGTATGACTTTGTAAAAAGAGAAGTGAGATTGACAATGCGAAAAGAAGAAATAACAAGTTATAAAATTTAAGTTCTCTCGCCTCTGATTCTTCTTGCTAATTGCATGTCCTTTGGCATGATGGTAACTCTTTTGGCGTGAATGGCGCACAAATTTGTGTCTTCGAAAAGACCCACTAAATAAGCCTCAGCAGCTTCTTGTAAACAAGCCAAAGCAGCGCTTTGGAATCTCAGATCAGTCTTACTAGCTGTAGCGATGTCTCTGACCAAATGTTGGAATGGAGCCCTTCTGAGTAAGAGTTCTGTTGATCGTTGTAAGACTTTGATTTCAGTCAACGCAACAGCACCCGGATGTGCTCTTTTCTTTTTGTTTGTTGAGTCTTTGCTTAACATTTTCTTTGCTGCTTTGAAAGCCACATTGACATTCTTCACTGCTTTTGTAGCTGATTTTTGGCTTGTAGTTCTTTCAATTCTTCCTTTTGTGCGTGCCATGTATTTATAAATACTTTTGATTATTATAAGTTCATAGGTTCTTTTTATTATTCCAAAGGACTAGGGTTTCCTTTTTATCAAATTGTGTTAAGGAAAAAAGTTTTTATCTACTGTTCCTATTTTTCGCTCATAAAAAAGTTTATTCTTATTATTGTCTTTTATTTGGGTAATTAGACGTTAGAGTTAAGTTTGTTTTTATATAGTATTTATTCACTCACATTTTCTTATGAATTGAATTGACTTTTTTGACTTTTTTTGTTTATTTTGATTATAATTTAGTAAATTATTAATCAAACTAGACTTGGTATTTGTCTATAACTTCATTAATTTAGATATAAATTAATCTACTATTTGTTATATTGTATAATTGAATTTATAATTATCAACTAGTTCAAATTGTCATTGTTATTTACTTACTTATAATATAATATACTATATATAATGGTTTGCAACTAAAACTATTATATATAATAAATAAAATAATTATTTAATCATATAATATAACCCGAAAACACCCATTGAATGAGTTTATTTGTTTGTTAACTAAATCACAAGTTTTTGTACCTTTAAAATTAATTAATGTCATACCGTAAAGAGAAAACATTTTCTTCGTTATGTGCCGAGCATCAAGCCAGCCACAACACCCTTCGCACATCTGTTCGTGAAGAGTTTTTTGCTTCCAAGCGACAAATAGAAGGTGAATTTATTCCCGTCGTTGTTGTTCCCAATGAAGCGGGCCTTCGGGAGGTCATAGCGCAAATCAAGTTGTGTGACGTTCAAGCGATGTCGACGTATTCCTCATACTTTTCCGAGACTAACATGCTTCCTTTTAACTTACTGATCGAGTTGAATGCCTTTGAACCTTTATTTAATCGAGCGATCAATAACAACGACGACACCTTCAATGAGAAATTCATGATGTTCACCACAAACTTTCTCGTGAACAATCAAAGTGACATATTTGGGCGTCAATTGATTAATATGGGCTTTATTAAAGTCGTTGACAAGTTACTCGACTCGACAAGTCAAACTGTAGTTCTTCGCTGTTTAACAACGGTGTCAAATTCCCTTGCAAATTCAGCGTCGAATTCCGACGCTTACATTCGCTTTGGAATTTTCGAAAGAGCCATGTCGGTGATACAGAAATACAAAACATTCGAAACATTGCAGACTATTACCTGGCTCTTTTCTAATATCTGCAGAACAAGGCTGACTACAGACTTCACAGAGATGACCAAAATCGCCGATTTTTTCTTGTCGATTCTCGTCGATTTCGACAAATACTCGGACCAAATAGTGTCGGACGCGTTATGGGGTGTCGGGTATCTTGCTCAAACGCGACACTATGAGTCCTTTGTGACTAGCAAAGAGTTGCTCGACACTATCTTCCAAATCCTCCGTCATGGACAATACACCAATTTAACGTTACGATTTCTAGGAAATTACGCCTCGCGAAATGGGCATGAAATCGACTTGATAGTTGATGCAAATGTATTTAGTTTGATTGAAAATGCAGTGATGACCACGACGAAGTCGTCAACGATCAAAGAGGCGTATTGGGTCTTGTCAAATATCATTGGTGGAGAGAACGCGACTTACTGCAAAACACTGGTAACTACAACTCAATTAATCCAAGCAGCCGTCGAGGCAATCATGCAAACAAAATTCGATAATAAAGTGTTGGACGAGATGGAGTTTGTCGTCAGCAATTTGTTATATATCTACGACGACGAACTGATAGCGTACATCCTATCGCGATGTTTAGATGTGATTCGAGTCTATATCATTATACTCCAAACAAGCAGAAACACACAACTCATTTCGAGCACTTTACAAGCAGTGTTTAACGTCTTAACATTCGGACAGAAGAATGGAACTGATCTTGTGGATGTCTTTGTAGCGTTAGGATTGCCTGATGTTCTTGAATCCATTGCGGTTTGTTTCATGTCTTTCAATAAATACAATAACTATTATTTTACTATTAAATAATTACTATTATTTAATAGTATGCAACTTACTATTTGAAGTTATAACGACTCATACTTAGATCTACTGCACCGACAGAACAAAGAAATTGGTCCGTGGCTTGAAAAAACAATTCTTCCCAGAAGGGAGTGAAGCAACTTCACTCACCGACCTTTAAGAGTGGTTTTATTAAATGATTTGTAACACTTTAAATTGAACATATAAACGCAAAGTAACATATTCTGAAAATTAAGTTAGAGGTCTCCTAATAATGAAGCCGTCAAATCATCTGCAACTTTAGTATCAAGTTGACTCTCGTGTTTGCTTTCGCTCGGAGTCAGTGTTTCCATCTGTTCCTCGTGATGTTCGAGTTGAAGTGGAGGTGGTTGTGAAGGTCGAACTGAAGGTTTAGCAACCACAGGAATAGCAGTGCTTGGTCCAAGGATAGAGTCTACTATATCAAAGTCAGTAGACACTGCAATTTCAGTACTTTTAGTCTTATCCATGCTTTCCACATCTTTCTGTGCATTCTTGAGTGGTGGCAAGACTTCTGCAATTTGTGGTCTTTTCTCGGGGACTTGATCCCACATCTTTTTCACTAGCTCGCCAATACTATTTGGAATGACTTTGTCGATGTCCATTCGTTTACCTTTGCTTACGAAGTTGATGACATCCCATGAACTTCCGAGAGTCGAGTAAGCTGGTCTCTTTTGGAATGCTTCGACTATTATAATTGCCAAGGAGTAGATATCATATGCCTTTGTAATATCTTTTGAGTATATCCCTTCAGGTGCACAATACACTTCAGGCCCAACTTTTTCTGTCATTTGTCCTTGTTT